TCTCAATGAGCAACTGAATCCGATACGGAACGACATAAATGCCATCAAAAAGCATGGAGTCTCCCGCGCGGACCTCGAGAACACCGTTGTCCCCATCAACACCGCCATCGCAGATCTCACAACACGGTTGGAGTTACTGGAGACTCGGGACGGCTCGCGGGCACCCTCACCGGGACCGACATCGGCGAGGGTGGGATCAGAAGCAAGTATCGACACGATGATGCACATGAAGCTGCAGGAATTGGAAAGTGAAGTCCAGCAACTTAAACACCATGGAGTACCACGCGTTCCCATCGACACGAACAACAAAAGGGCGATCACAGCAGTTTTTGGCAACCTCGGCGGCTTCGACATCTTCAACACCGCCGCAGCTTGGCTGAAGGACCAGCTCGCGACTCTTGCAGGCCCGACTCCACACAATTTGTACATCAAAGGCGACACGAACCACATCCTGTACGCCGAGTTCGGCAGCACGCTGGACCGCGACACGGCGGTGGCCCTCATCCGGAGTGCAAGCTTACAGCATAATGGAAGCAAGATTTGGGCTTCTCCTGATCGACGTTCGACTGACCGTGCAGCGAGAAACTTTTGCTTTGGACTCAAGTACATGTTGAAAGATCATATGGGCATGGAGTACGTCATTAAAGTGAACGACGAATCGCCTTACCAGGTCCACGTAGGAGGAGAATTAGCACTAAAAGTGACAACAACAGATACAAGTTTGAAACGGGAGTGGTTTAACAAGTGGGGCGAGTGGGACGACCTCCAGCAGCACGAGAAGCTCAAAGAACTTACGTCCAAATGTGACGATTTGGTTTGCAGAGCTTCGTCGGGAATGAAAGGAGGTCCCAAAGGGCAGTCCAAAGGAGGGGGGAGATTTTGAGAAACGCGGCAGGTGCCGATCGAGGCCGGAACCGGCACCGACGCCGACGCACCATCACCACAGGCGACGACGACGGCAGGAATGGGCAAAGGTACCAGCCTGCCACACCTACCTCAGGAAGCTCACCGGCCCCTTCATGGACGACCCCTCGCAGGAACACGTGTACCTCTCCAATCTCTTTTTCCGCATTCCTCTACTCTGGAATCTGTGCCGGAGATGGGCAAAGTTACCGCTACCGCGCACGGTTTACACGGGCGTCCTCATCAGCACCCCCGCGCACATGTTCACAGTGATCCTGATGTTTCCTGTTCGTCTTCTCCAGGGGCTGTTACGGAAATGGGCAAAGATACCATTACCGCATTTGCTTCTACTTCAAGTTTTGGCTACACATCTCCACGTATTTTCTTTGAAAGCGCTTTCATATCACCAGCAATTACCAACGAAGGTACAGAGTTTGAGACTTTATCTGATCAGGGCGACAATGATACATCGCTCGATTTTTCTTCTGCTATCGCACCGTCTTCGATTCCACCCACTCCACAATCGCGAAGTTCATGGGGCAGGCCTCGCACAGCATGCTTGCCGACATCGACGATTAGACTGGGCTCCTGGAACGTGGAAGGTCTGAGGGGGGATTCGCAGGTTAAGTTCACAGAGTTGTTCGGCACAATGCGAAAGCAGAACATCGATATATTATGCATACAAGAGACGCACTTGCATGGTACAGATTACTACAAACATGAAGAGGGTTTTCTGGTTTGCTTGTCAGGGGAACTTGATGCAAACAAACGTTCAGATGCCGGGGTCGGCTTCATAGTTGCACCATGGGCCGATAAATCAGCAGTTGCGTTCCATGCCTCTTCGCCAAGACTCGCCTCCCTGAGAATAAAGATCGTTGGCGGGATGCTAACCCTCATCACCGCTTACGCGCCACACAGTGGACACCATGAACAGGTCAGGCGCGACTTCTACTCCGACCTGGACGCATACATCCGGCCGACAACGCCTCACAGCACTACTATGATTCTGGGGGATTTCAATGCCAGACTGTTGATTCAGAACAAGGGCGAAGAGCACACTATTGGAAGGCATGTTTGCCTTGGGAAGTTTGCGAAACGCACCGCTACACAGGTCTCTAATCGCCAACTTCTGCTGGAATGCTGCCACGGCAACGACATGGCGATCGCGAACACATTCTTCAATGCACCGGAAGACGAGCGTGTCACGTACAGGGATTTGGGAGTGGCTCCGATGGACCCTATCTGTCCAGAGCTGTTTTCGCAAATCGACCACATCTTATGCAATTCTTCAGTTTTGCCATGGGTATTGGATTGCAGATCCCATCGAAGAGCGGCCCTAAACAGCCACCACTTCCTGACCACGGCGAATATAGCATTCCAGTTTCAGAATCGCAACATAGCCCGCCCGCCGCGCTCAGACGTTTCGTCTTTGAAGGAGCCCGGCGTGCGACGAGATTTCGTATCCAAGTTTACGCTGGCTTGGGGCGATGCTGTTCTTGGGGGCTCTCTGGATGACGTGGCCGGGGCGGTGGAGCAGGCTTTCTCATCCGCTGCATGTTCTTTGAAGCCCAGGCATACTGTAGCAAAGCGCCCATGGATATCTCAACGTACTTTGGATCTGATCGAGAAGAGAAACACATGCCGAACAACAGGACGATCTATCGAGGAGCAGGCGTTGAATAAGGAAATCCGGCAAGCCGCGCGACAAGACCGGTCAAATTGGATCAACACCGCACTGGTTGGGGGACATTGGGGCGCCGTCAAACAATTGAGGAAGAAACGACAACAAAAACACGCTGGAGTCAAAGATCTTACAGGAAAATTGACAGACACAGCAGGCCGACCAGACGCGCTAGCAGAGTACTTTGAACAAGTTCAATGGCAAGTACGTTTTCCAGATGCGGCCCCAGAAGCAACAACGAAGATGGGAGACACGCTCCCCGTCGACACATCGAATTTCTCTTTACAAGAATTGCGGGTCGCACTGCGAAAAATGAAACAGGGGAAAGCGGCCGGGCCCGATGATATACCGCCAGATTTTTGGATAGTACTTGCCAATAGCGACGAAGCGTGCGCAGCATTACTACGGGCATGCCAAAAATATTGGGAAACGAAAGACATTCCAACGAAATGGAGGAGAGCCAACGTTGTTTTGTTATTCAAAAAAGGCGACGCAACCCTCCCAAGCAACTATAGGCCGATCTCGTTGTTGGCCGTGGGCACAAAACTTTGGCTTCGATGATACACCGGCGTCTTATACAAGGAGGGTCAGAAGGAAGAATGCGATCATCCCAGTTTGGCTTCCGCCCTGGGCGTGGCACGGCGGACGCACTGATGCTGATAAGGCGAATTATTGATGCAGCACACTCAAACAAGAACGATGGCATCTTATTGCTTTTGTTGGACTGGGCAAAAGCGTTTGATCGCTTGAAGCCAGATTGTCTCTGCAAAGCGTTGGAAAGATTTGGCCTGCCAGATCCTATGGTGCAGATGATGCGGGGCATTTATTCTGAGAGGTACTTCACTGTAGTTGACCACAGCGGGCGTTCGTCGGAACGCAGACAGTTTGCAGGAATTGCCCAAGGCTGCCCTTTATCACCATATCTTTTCATTGCGGTTCAATCAGTAATGTTGCACGATGTCTTCGAGAACCTGTCTCTCCAGGAAGAGCCCGCGTATGTCGTGACAAGGGACATCCTGTACGCTGACGACACGCTGCTGCTCTCCAAACACCCGGAGAATTTACAATTGATATTGGGCGCAGTCATTTTAGAGGGGCAGAAGTATGGCTTGGAGTTAAACTGGGACAAAACAATACAAATCCAAATTTCAACTACGGGTGTGGTGCGGCAGCCGAATGGGAACCCAATCAAAACAGCCAGAGAAGCAGTGTACTTGGGAGGCTTGGTTTCCTGCGATGGTCGCGCCGGGAATGAGATATCTCGAAGGCTGGGAGAAGCGGGCGCCGTTTTTCGCGATCTGAACAAAATCTGGGCGCACACTTCTATAACGTCGCGACGGAAGCTGCATATATTTTCTGCCTGTGTCGTCTGCAAGCTCTTATATTCGCTCGATTCTTTATGGCTCTTGAAATCCGACAGATCAAGGATTGATGCTTTCCAATGCAAGTGTCTGAGAAAGATATTGAAGATTCCTTGTTCGTACATATCACGGGTGTCTAATGCCACAGTTTTGGAGAAATCATGCATGAAAACGTTGTCGAATATCTTGCACGATCGGCAGATCCAGTTGTACAGGAAGATCACCTGCTATGACGCAAACTCATTGGTAAGGCAAGTGGTATCCAACCCCGACGCCACGCCAAAGCAATGGGTTCACCAGAGACGCAGAGGCCGCCCACGACAACAATGGGTGAACTCAGTGTACCACATGATGCAAGGCTGATTTGATTCATCCTCATCGTCATCTATCGAATTCTGTTCGGCGCCGGCGTTTGGCCAGGCTCTCTCGCCTGTCGCCGCTCTGCACAGCGTTTGGCTGTTCGCTTGCTTTGCCTACGCGTCCACTCGGATGCAAGGCTGCTGTACTGTACTGGGAAACGAGTGGATACCGCTAGTCCGCGGCTAGTTCCCAAGGGTTTCAGCGCACCGCTGTGTGAGCCTCCAGGCGACACAGCATCGAGTTTCACGAACACGGACGGTTGTCGATGGCGCCAGATGGCTCTCGGCGACCGCCATGGAGGCAGCAGCCTGCCTCACGCTACGGATAATGGTGGAATCCGATCGTCTATCCTCCACTGCCTGGATCTATGCCGCCGCCGCCGTCGTGGGTAGCGAATACTTGGGGGAAACGCCAGTACCGAGCCCAAGTTGAGTGTTCCTCGTGTGGTCGGTGGCTCTTCCAGGACAGGCTCAAGGCGAAGAACTGGGCGTGCGAGTGTGGCGCAAAGTTCCAGAAGTCGCGTGGGCCTGGCCATGGCCGTCAGGGGGGTGCTGCTCCTGCTGACGGTGACGCTGTGCAGGAGCTCTGTGCCTTGGCGGCCAAACTGGGAGGGGGGGAGGACACCAAGCGTGCTGTCGACTCCTTGGTGGCCACCCTGCGAGGTCCTCCCCCCGAGACCAAGCCGCGGCCGTCAGGACAGGCCCTCCAGATGGCGGCGGCCCGCTTGCAGCGAGGACGCAAGGCCATGGAGGCGGCCAAAGAGCAGTGGAAGAGAGCCAAGCAGGAGTTGGAGCGGTGCACGGAGAAGCTTCGTGCATGCACGACTGAGGCTATGGAAGCTGAACGTGAAGAGATCGCGAAGGCGAAGAAGTTCTTGCCACCTGAGGAACTGCCCGTGCCACGGGGTGCTGTCCTGGACACCCAAGAGGTGCTCGACGGCAACCTGGAGCTGGAGATCAGTCTGGGAGTCGACCTGGACGGGTTGGGCCTCACGCAATCGGACCATGACATCTTGGAGAAGACGAAGGGTGAGCTCCAGGTCTGGTTGCGCAAAGCGGTGCAAGACACGTATGGTCAAATCAATGAGAAGTTGCAGGATCAGAAGGCCAAGGTCTCAGCTGTCCTCGAGAGAGCCCGCAAGAAGAGGAAAGGCAACCTGGGTAAGGCTCAGGTTGCGGCCGAACCAGCGAGCCAGGGAGCAGCGTCCAGCGCGCCCCGTGGAGGTGCCGACGCAGCCCCTGAGGCGCCTGCGCGAGGAGCGGCGACGGGTGCTGTCCGTGGCTCGGCAGCAGACCCCGCCCCTCGCGCCGCGCCAGCTCCTGGGGATGAGCATTCGCTCAAGGCCGTGTCTGACCGCTTGCAGGGTGAGGTTGATGCCCTCGTCCGCAACCTGCGTGAGCCGGAGGGGGAGCCACCGTGCGGGTGACGCGCACACTCTGTATATGAGGAACCTCTCGGGCTGGGGGCACTCGTCTAGATGCCTTCTTGCTGAGGGCTTGTGCGACATAGTCATTCTGCCCGAGTTGCACGTTCTCCCAGATATGTGCACAGAGGTGCTCCATGATTGGAGCTTTAGAGGGTACCAACCAGTGGTGGCTCCATCCTACCAGTTGAAGGCGACGGCCAAGGCTGGTGGGGTCCCGATGGGAGTCAAGAAGAGATTTCAGTTTCAGAGTTTTCGCCACCTTGCGACCGACAGACATATGCAGATGGGGCTCCGACAGATCCAGGAGCCAGACACCGCCGTGCCGAGGATTGATTTCAGAGACGTTGTAGGATGTCAGCTCAAGATTGGTGGCCAGTCTAGTTCTGTCTTCGGCATCTACTTGACTGCGGATGTGGGCATCACAGGCTTGGACGTGTCAAAGCTGATCCAGTTAGGTACGCTGTTGCAGTCTATCAAGACGCCTTGGGTGGTCATTGGGGACTTCAACGCGACCCCGATCGAGCTGCAGAAGTCAGGATGGCCATCGCTGGTGGACGGGTTGGTTCGTGTCCCCTCGGGTGCAGAATACACATGCACGGCTGGCCAAAAGAGGATGATTGATTTCGCAGTTCTGTCACGCTCGATGGTTCGGCTCGTCTGCTACATGACGGTTGATGACGAAGCATGCTTTGGAGCAGGTAAGTCGCACTTCGGCATCTTGGCGAAGTTGCCGCTGAGGCTGGAGAAGGCTCAGAGATGGGTACTCAGCATGCCGCAGAGATTTCAGTACCCACCGAGGCCCAAGAAGCAAGCGGATCCGACCAGTAAGAGGTCTCGACAGCGCCTGCTGCGCCAGCTCGACGAGGCCGCCGCTGAGCCAGAGCCAGAACTACCACGTCCTCCGTTGAGAGCGCGGGGGCAGATCAGGTTCAAGATGCCGCCTCCCTTGCAGTACTTGGGGGCGCAGGATTGGGGCCTGGAGTCGGGGGATGACCCGCGGCAGGAGGACGACGATGAGTCGACTGGCCACGTCGACGGCCAGTTCGGCCAGGGTGGCGCCGAGGGCGCAGGGTGCGCGGCGATGGGTGCTGGTGGACCAGCAGACCCCGCCTCCCCGGGAGGTGCGGCGTCGGGTGCAGGAGGCCCTGCAGGCCCCGCCCCTCCAGCAGCGCAGGGAGAGAGCGTCTCGCTGCTGCTCCTCGAGACGGCGCCAGAAGCCCGGGACAGGCTCTGGCGCGCTCTGTCGGCCAGTCGGCCACAGGGCACGCCGCCGAAGTACATTGTGGATTCGAAGGCGTTTCGGTTGGATCCCGAGGCGTCGCTTTCTATTGGCAGGCCCTTCGCGGACTGGGCTGAGAAGTTTGAGTATTTTTTTGCGCGATGTTGGTGATACATCCGGGTGATTAAAATAAGTGCCGGGGCAGAGGTTCCCTTGGAGAGCTCACTAGGAGACCCGAGGCCCAAGGGGCCCACTTTGTCTCGTCTAGGGACCCTGTGGCGCACTGGTGGGCCACGGTGGATTTCCTGTTGAAGGACCTTGTGGGCCTCCTGGGCCAGAGGGGCTCTAGTAGGGCCAGTAGGTTAGGCGAGCGCGTGAGGGACTTATCGGTCTCTGTTCCTGTCTCTCCTCTGATGCCTCTCCCTCCTCCTGTGCGCACCAAGTGGTGCCGTAGTCTCAGGGTGATTTGGGGGCTCACAGATGACTCACTCCATCAGGGACCTCAGTAGGCAGGCCTACTCCAATTCTGTCAGAGCCCAGAGGTCTGCCCTCCATGCCAGTCTCGGCAAGTTCCACCAGTGGGCCCTGCAGCAAGACCAGCTAGGTGGACGGGGGCTGTACCACAGGCTCAAAGACAAAACAGTTTTTTGTTGGCGAAATGAGGGCTTGGGGTGACCCAGCTCTAGATTCCTGTGCGCGCATGGAGGCCAGGGCCAGAGCGCGGAGCCTAAAGTGGAAGGGGGATCCCCCCACTTCCAAGCGTGTTTTCGAACTTTGGAGGAAAGCCCAGTCGAAGGCTAAGGCACCCGAGCCCAGGCCGATCACTGAGGAGCAGATTTCCAGGCCCATCTCAGCCCTGCCAGACCTTGCGCCAGGGGTAGACCAGATGACGAAGAAGGGCTTCCTCTGGTTGCCTAGGGCGGGCCTGCAGGATCTGGCAGGGCTTCTCTCCCAGGTGGAAAGGGAGTGCTGTTGGCCATGGCAAGTCTTGGTCATTCTAGTCGCCCTCCTGGTCAAGGACTTGGAAGCGGATCGTGCGATTGGCCTGCTTGCCTGGCTGGTGAGATTCTGGGGCAGGCTGAGAAACCATGACAGAGCTGCCTGGGCGAGGGGCACTGCTGGCACGTGGGACACGGCGCTGGCGGGCTCCTCGGCCCTGCAAGTTGCGTTGCTGCGCCTTTTTCGAGATGGGGAAGCAGCCAATTCAAGCTTCCCCGACTTTCACAGTGGTAGCTTGCTCTGGGATGTGAAAGGGTTCTATGGTAGCCCCCGATGGGATCTCATCTTGGAGAAGGCCCTGGATCTAGATTTCCCGCCTTGCTATCTTGCTCTAGAGTTGCAGATGCACATGGCGGTCAGGTTTCTTCGAGATGGGGGGGGCTACTCGCCCCCTGTAGACCCAGAGCTGTCATTCATTCCAGGTAGCAGTGGTTCAGTCGACTTAGGAAGAGCTGCCCTGCACCATGTTTGCGCGCAACTTGTCACTGGGGCTCCTGCGGCGCCGAGCCTCCACACTTGGGTGGATGACATTGTGCAATGCATGCACGGCACAAGCGAGTTAGTTTTCAGACAGTTCTCAAGTGCGGGGCTGAAGCTGGTCCGTTGTCTCGAGCAGGCTCACCTTTCCATGGCCAGTAAGTCGTGCATCATCTGCTCGAGTACCAGTGTAGCCAAGCAGTTGCATCAGTTTTTCAAGGGACACCATATAGACACCCAGGTCAAACTAGTCAGTGCTGACCTAGGCATAGACCGAGGTAGAGTCGGGGCGTCTAGGCCGAAGCAGGCAGCACGTAGGCAAGCCACGGTTAAGCGTTTGGGTAAGCTTCAGACGCTTGCTGCAGGCAACATGCTATGCAAGAGATGGGCGGAGAAGATGGCCCTCGCGGCTGCCTTCGCCAAGCCACGTTATTCTGACAAGGTGCACGGCGCTGCCCCCCATGTCGTTTTGAGATGGCGTCGGTCGTTGGGTCGGTTGATAGGGGGAGTCGCTAAGGGGGGTAGGTGCCTCACCACGCTATTAGCGCTTGAGTATGGGAGGAAGGATCCTGCTTTCCTCGCTCTCTTCGACACGATCGAGGCATGGTTCCTCATTTTGACGGATCGCAGTTTCCATGCCGAGAGGATCCGTACAGTCTGGAGAAAGGCCCTCGCGCGTCTGCGGGACAGGCCCGCCAGGCACAGGTGGAGAGGTGTCGCCACCCCAGCTGCGGCGACTATTGCCACTCTGCTTGATCTTGGTTGGGAGCCTTGGGGCCCGTGGGCTTGGGAGTGCGATCTTGGAGTTAGGCATGCTATTGACGAGTCCCTGCTCGGGCGGGGTAAGGTTGATCTTGCTGCCATCAAGGAGGCTCTGGCAGCTAGCATGGAACGCAAGTTGTGGTCTGCTGCCGCTCAAAATTCGTGGAATGGCCAGGGCCTTGAGTTGGTCCCTGATCGTACACATAACGGCGCACCGGGCCCGGGGGCCCGGGGCCGGGACCCCGACCGCAAATGTGGGCCCCAGGGGGCCCGGAGGCTCGTCGGACCGCCGGACGCCGTCCAAGATCGTTCGCAGGCGGCTTCGGAACGCGCTCCGATGGCTCCAGATGCTTTCCAAGACGCCTGCCATGACACCAAGAAGGTCCCAGAAGCCTCCTCCAAGACGCTCCGATAGGCAGCCCAAGAGAGGCCCAAGAAGCACAAATCGTGCCACTCCTATGGGAAAGCGTATATATCTTCGCATGTTCGCATCTTGGGCTTTCGCCGCGTCCAAGACGGCCCAAGAGGCGCCCAAGACGGTCTACGAGGCCTCCGGGAGCGCTCCAAGGCTGCGCACGAGTGGCCCAGGACGGCCCCAAGACGGCCCAAGAGAGCCCCAAAACGAGTTCGAGAGGGGTCCCAGTCGGAGAAAGCCAAGCTCGAATTCCGAGCTTCCGGCCCAAGAGGCTCCAGGAGGCGCCGAAGTGCCGCCGAGAGGCGCCAAAAGGCTCCCAAAAGCCCCCCAAGACGTTCCGAGAGGCACCCCAAGAGAGGTCCAAGAAACAAAAATCGTGCCACTCCTATGGGAAAGCGTATATGTTTCGCATGTTCGCATCTTGGGCTTTCACCGCGTCCAAGACGGCCCAAGAGGCCTCCAAGACGGCCTAGGAGGCCTCCGGGAGCGCTCCAAGGCTGCGCACGAGTGGCTCAGGACGGCCCCAAGACGGCCCAAGAGAACCCCAAGACGACTTCGAGAGGGGTCCCAGAAGGAGAAAGCCACTCTCGAATTCCGAGCTTCCGGCCCAACACATCCCAGGAGGCGCCAAAACGCCGCCCAGAGGCGCCAAAAGGCTTCCAACATCAGCCCGAGACGTTCCGAGAGGCACCCCAAGAGAGGTCCAAGAAGCAAAAATGATCCCAATCCCATGGGAAAACGTATACTTTTCGCATGGTCACCTGTTGGGTTTCACCGCGTCCAACACGTCCGAAGAGGCTCCCAACGCGGCGTAGGTGGCCCCCAAGAGAGTTCCAAGACGGTTCACGAGGCGCCCAGGACGGCAAAATTGGATTCCAAAATGGCCTAAGAGAGCCCCGAGGCGTGCCCGAGAGGGGTCCCAGAGGGAGAAAGCCACTGTAGAATTCCGAGCTTTCGGCCCCAAGAGGCTCCAGGAGGCACCAAGAGAGCTCCAAGAAGCTTCCACGAGAGACCCAGGACGCCCCAAGAGGCTCCAAAGGCGGC